GTTGTTGTTTTTCTAAAAATTTTTTTTTGTGTGTATTGTGACGTCAAGAACTTCCAATATCCACTACAAGCCGGTAGAATAGGGAACCTTTGTTGGATAAATCCTTCTCAGCTAATGTGCAATCAAACCAGCAGAAAAGTAAAGTCGTATGAGGGGGAAAACACCTTCAGATTAAGACGGCGAACACTGTGTGGCCTGCATCGTATTTAGTTGTGTATCGAGACGCTGAGTTTTTTTTTTTTATGATGGTTGTCTAAATTTAGTGTCGAATTATTTTTTTTTTGTGAGGATTTGCCGCAAAATACCGTCACTTTTTAAAAAGCAGAATGTTTACAGTAAAACAAAGGGAATCAAAAGTCACTCAAAGGAGCAATATTTTAAGGATTTGAAACCCCTTTGACCTCCATAACAAATAAGGACTTCACTTCGGTAAAAAAAAAAATCAGAAATGATGCTCGAATGCATATGCATATGGATAATAATAATGATTATTCTTCAGCTTATGTCTTCACCTTTAGTTGATTTTGATTACACAGCGTCTCTACTCTCTCTTGTCCTTCACCAATTAGGCAGCCGCCCTGTCCTGGGAAAGGGTCGGATCGGTTTTCCAGATGGGCACGTCCAACTCCAACGAACCGGACGCCACCGCGGTGGAGAGGCCGGCAGGACTCACGACTTTTCGCTTTGTTTGATCATCATGGACGTACAACAAAGGGTTGTGGGAGCTTTGCAAAATGGTATCCGGCAGGACAATCCAGCGCGAGTTCTCGGATAAGATCGTTGAAAGGGGATCGACATCGAGTCCTGACTCCTCGCGCAGCAGCTTTTCGCCGTTTTGGAGATCCTTTAGCGTGATGGAGGTGTTCCCATCTTTTGCGATAAAGTAGTACGTCGAGCACATCGCCAGATAGGGTTTATAGCTTTCGTTGATCGCCTGCGCAAGGGTTTTCATAAATTGGGGGGTGGCGGGGGCGGGGGCTGGGGTGGTTGATGGATCCGGCGGCGCGGGGCTGGGGCGGGACGGAATATTCCGCAGCGGCATCCGCATCACCCCGTCGGTCGTAAAGCTCGTCAACGCCATCCCATGAGGGTGAGAAACCATCACCAACACCGCCGGAAGCCCGGCCTGGGCCTCCGGGGTCCCCAGGATGGGCAAATACTCCCCCACCGGCAGGCCCAGGACCTGATCCCCCTCTTGGACGACGGAAGGGTGGGGCAGGCAAAGCAGGGGGTGATAAACGCCCTTAACTTGCTGTAAAGGGTCCAACACAAGGACCCGCGTGGAGCCGCCCCCGGCGCGGGATTGCCGTAGAAGTCGGTCGTGGGGATCCAAATACCGCGTGAAGACGTCCCGGATGGTGTGCGGGCCGAGAACGTGTTTTTGCCGGCATCGGAAGTGCTTCATGCTGAAGAATGCCACGGGAATACGGCGAGCGGATGGGGTAGGCGCCATCATTTTTCTAAGAAATATAATAAAATAATAATATTATGAATTGTAATAATAATGATAATAAAAAGAAAGGATAAAATTCAATATGGATCTATCTATCTATGGAGCTACTCTGTGATGGGGAGTTGGGTGAACCCACCTGTGAGACTTTCGGTATGCTAGAGCGCAGAAAGAAGGTAAAGAAAAGATCATCACGACGGCATTTGATGAGTGGGAGTAGTCGACATCGCGCGTTGGACTTTATCGACAACGCACACACACACACACACACACACACCATAGGGTTCCTGCCCATGGGCCAGTTTAAATTTGGAAACTGCTCTCGATATAAGAAGTCGACTTAGGTTGAACCTTAAAGATGAGAATTTATAAAATCATTGAAATCATTACCTCATTAGTATTGGGTCGCTGATAAATCTCTAAAAGACATACCCTTTGGCATTATCATATACGGAAATTATATTTTTAAATAAAAGAAATAGGTAACTAAGATCAAGCGGGGAAAAATGAGAGAAAGAACGAGCTCCAACAACTAAAATTATATTGCGTAGATAACCAATTAAGCGATGCAGGCCGCTAAAACACAAAGTACTATTTGTTCCCAAGATAATTATGCAATTCAGTTAAAATCTTTTATTCTGAGGTCTCCTTTCTTCTGAGTTCTTCCATAGGATCAAAGGCCGAAAAAAAAACAGAAATAAAGATAGTTAATCTCAAAACAAGTGTATCGCTATAAGAAGAGCGACAAGGAAAAGCCCCTATTATTTTCCTTTTGAATTTTGATTCATTTTCCTTTATATTGAACCTCATCGGAAAACGCAATAACATGAAGAAGAGAACAATAAATCAATAATAATAATAATAAAAAGAAAAGGGAAAGGAGGAAATACAACCTTACCCCGAACCCTCCAGACCGCCGAAGGTTGTCAAAAAAGCGCCACGGTCTCAAATCGTTTACGGAAGATGATATCCCACACGATCCGCGCACACCACAGCATAAAAACGAGCAGTGCGAAGGCGAGGATGTAGAAGGGCGCCTTGGCGTCGGACGGCGTCTCGGCGGTGGAGTCGAACGGGATGCGGACGTTCATGGAAAAGATACTCTGAAAGATCGAGACCGCGGTCAGGACGTTCACCATCTCCGCCAGAAGCAGCAGCATCCGCAACGAGCGATTCCCATACTGCAGAAGCACCCAATAATAGGAGAGATTGGCATACCAATTGGTCAACATCACGGCATCATGGCATTGGCCCATCTCGCTTTTGAGGGAATGGAGGTAGGACTGGAGGCTGGTGAGCTGGGCGAGGGCGTGGGGGTCCGGCAGCAGAAACCGCCGCGCCCCATCCTGGCGGAGAATCTCGCTCACGAGGCCTTCCCGCCGCAGGACGTCCGAGCCGCACTCGCCAAAGCAGAGCCGCACCGCCGTGATGGTGTTGAGCAACGCGCGGTGGCCCTTCTCGGCCCCCGCAGCGTCGAAGGTGGCGTCGCTGAGGTCGTTCACGGCCTGCGCGAAGACCGCGCTGTCGGCGTTGTGGCCCACGCAGATCTGCAAAAGCGCGAGCAGGAAAAACGACGCGGTCAACCTTTGCCCCGACGGCGCCGTCAGCAGGGCGGCGCGGGCGATCGGGGAGGACGCGGGGGAGCCGGGGCCC